TTTAAAACTTCCGACCGTCATAAAAATGGCAATTTTGAAGATATCAACAAACTGTAAAGATCAAAGTTGTTCAGAAAAAATAAAGAAATCGAAATCTGTTCTCCAAAATAGTGGTTGCTATTGTTATGGGCTACGAGATGTACTAATAATATAATATAATATAATATAATATAATATTCATGAGCTACGAGATATGCTAATATGTAATATATGTGTAATATTGCTATAGGTATTAGCAATAGTGATCTAAATATATATGTGATCTAATAATTATAATGTATACGAATATTAGATTCATATTTTGTAAAAACATTGTAATAAATCAAAATAGTAGTTCTTAGGCGAGGTCGTTTTGCGTTTACAAGAATTGCCAGTAAGACGATAACATCCTGGAGATTGTTGTTTCAAATGTGAAAACAATTCCAAGAATTAATCTAAATTAGAAGGTTGACGATTACAACAACAAGAGATTTTCTTGTATATAAGGGAGTCCGAAGACCAACAAGGGCAGATGTACCAGAGCTACGAAGAACAGAGCAACTTCACGACACTCAGCCACTTCTTATATCAGTTACATGTATTTTATTTATACAGATTAAACATTATTGTAATTAAAAGTTTTACAATTCATTTTAATAACACCTTGGATCTGGATCTGATATTGGCACGCAACACTATTTAAGAAATTTTTATTTTACTGCGCATGCGCTGATAAAAAAAAATTAAAAATTTGAATTTATTAAAAAAATATGTATTTATAAGTCCTATATGCAGTATGAAAACCCCGAATCAAATTCAAGGTCACACGATCGAAATATTTCCTGTTACCTTTAAAATTGAACACACGGTATAAGCTAGTACAAATTAATATATTATGTATGATATTAATACTTACAGTAAATAAAGTACGATATTGTATTATGAAATAACCAAATTAGTTTTATTCTTTAAAATTATTGTTATTACAATAAACATGTTAATAATACTTAAATTTCAATAAAAAACATTTTGGAACTATAAATCAGTAAAGTCGTTTGGAATATACTGTGACTGTATAGGCGGAACAGAGGACATAGAATGAAGAGATGGTGAAGACGATGACGAAAAGTATGTGTCCGGTGACTGTGGTTGAGTTGAAAACGTAGAATGGTGAGCTAGTGAAGGTGTTAAAGTAGAGTACGGTAACTGCATGGAAGGCAAAGATGTTGAAGTATCATATGTTCCTGTTGACTGTGGTGGTATTGGATAAATCGACTGAAAATGTGGCAAAGATGCAGCAATTTGTGATGTTGAAGTTTCTTGAGACTGATTAGCTTGGAGTTGGAATTTGAAACTTAATTCAACGTTGAATATTAATGAACTTATTTGATGTTGTAATATGGTTTTCATTCGATCGTCAAACTGCTCTAATTTACTAGCAATAAATTCTCCAAATATGGTAGAATCACTTTTTTGTTTTTTTGCTTGCCTTTTATCAGAAATATCTTGCATAATCTTTTGTTAACTTTGAATAACTTTATCATTGTCATTTATTTTTTTACGTTTGCTTGATATTTTTTTGGGAGAAACAAATGTTTTTCTTTACTCTTGAGGTTGTTCTGTTTCCCCCGAACTTTCCCACAACAATTCGTCTATAGTAGTTTCATTGACGTTTATACGTTCTACATTTGAAGAATCTTCTAATAATTGACTATTATCCGGCTATAAATAAAATATTTATTAAAATAATTAATTTAAAAATAAAAAAATTAATTTTACTTAAAATTTTAATTAATTTTCTAAATAGACAAAATTATAAGCTCCTAAGGTATATTATGTACAAATATACATACAATAATTGTATAATTTACTTATTATAATATGTATGTATATTGTATAATTTTTAAATATTTTTTAAATTTGTTATATTATATTAATAATGTTTTAACGATATATAATGACAAATACTTATGTTTAAGTGTAGTTATGAATTGTATTTATTTATTTTTAACTTTTTTAGATACCAACAACTCAAGAAGATTGGTTAAATGTTGCCAGAAAATATGAAACAACTTGGAACTTTCCTCATTGCCTTGGTGCAATTGATGGAAAACATGTGAAATTGCAAGCACCCATTGGAAGTGGAAGTGATTACATTAATTATAAATCAACGTTTAGTATTGTTCTCATGCGATAGTTGATGCTGATTATAATTTTTTGTATGCAAATATCGGTTGCCAAGGCAGAATTTCAGATGCAGGAGTTCTTCGGAATACGTCATTTTTTAAAAAACTTGAAAGAAATGAATTGGGACTTCCACCAGCAAAAAATTTAAATGGAAGAGAAAAAATAGTTCCATATGTATTTGTCGCTGACGAAGCCTTTCCCTTAATGGAAAATATACTTAAACCCTTTTCCCGGGACTCATGAAAAAGGATCGTTTAAAAGAACATTCAATTATCGATTGTCTCGAGCCCGGAGAGTTGTGGAAAATGTTTTTGGAATTCTATCAGCAGTATTCAGAGTGCTTCGAAAACCAATGCTGCTTGAACCAAACAAAGCAGAGATAGTAATTACGGCATGTGAATACTTGCATAATTATTTACGAAAAAATAAGTCATCGAGGGATGCATATTCGCCACCAGATTTTTTTGATCGTGAAGTTGATGGACGTAATATTGTTGGAACGTGGAGACACGAAACCAACAATACTTTACGTCCATTAGAAAGAGTGGGAAGAAGAACTACACGATTAGCAGAAGAAAACAGAAATGAGTTTGCTAAGTATTTTTGTGGAAATGGTGCAGTACCGTGGCAAACTGAATTATCTTAATAATTATTTATAGTAAATTATTTCAAGTAAGGTTACTTTATAAATAAGTACAAATTTACAAATTATGTTTAAAATAGGTTAATTTTACAAATACAGTGACATTATAATATATTTATATCTATTAACACCCAGACGTATACAATGCCTTGTATGCATATTCTATATAATCACTTGTATGTTATATTATTAAATTGTGTATATTATAATATAGTTTGTATTTAAAATATAAACCAGAAAAGAATTGTTTCCTTTATTTTTAGCATAGTTTATATGCAAACGATAAACCAAACAAAATGGTTTTAAAAATAAACGCTATCATAAAATGTATTTACGTTTATAGAATATATATTTCAGACAAATACTATTTTTATATGGCTTTCTCGATATTGCTGCCAGTAGGTTTAGAAAAATAATTATACATTTATAACTTTTAATAACTTTTAAATTTAAAGTACTTACATCAATGGTATCTTTAGTTTGTCGTTCAAAAACTTGGAATGAAACACTTCATTGGCTCCAGCGCCAGAACGTCTTGTGCTTACTTTAAGGCGACGTTCCCTTCTAAAAGACGCTTGTAAACTTTCCATCTTCCTCTTAATTTCATTTACACTTTTCTTCATCTCTTTACTTATTTCCATCCAATAATCAATTTTTTTTTTGCCATCTTGTTTTGATTATTGGTTGGATCCCATAGAATTGGTCTGGCTTTAAACATTTCAATAAGAAGTAGACATTCTTCGTCCGTCCAATCCATTATTTATTTTTAATGATTATAATAATTAATAAAAACTATTATGCAAATTGAAAAATCAGCGGTGCGCGCGGTAATTGCAGGTCCCGAACATAACCGAATCAGAAATGACAGCCGAATATCGTTCGAATTGAACGAGCGTTTTCTTTGATCGTACCGCCACCCGAGCGAGCGTCACCGAACGCGAACGAATCGTTCGGGGCAAATTCGCTCGCGTTCGGCAAACCGTTTACACTACTGAATTCGGTACGATTCGCTCGTGTTCGTTCGTGTTCGAACTATAATGTAAACGCACCTTAACATAACTTAATGATGGCACTCGAGTGTACTGTGGATTTGTTGTATTCGTTATTGTTATCATACTTTGTACGACACTTTTAGTTATTTCTTTATTGTACAAAAAAAAATTGAATCATATAATTTTTTGTTTATATATTTCAATCGATATTCTATTGTAGATAGTATAAACATTACATTTGTGAAATTATTTTATTTATTTATTTTTTGTTGTATTTACAATAATCATGTATTTATTTATTTGATAATTATTTAATCATATACTAAAATTATTATTTGCTTAATCTTTATGTTATTATAAAAATATTATGTCATACTCGCCGTTCAGCCTATCTATATAATAATTTTTTTTTTTGTTTGTTGGAAATGTTTCAAGGCGGGCGGTGTGTAGCGTCCCTAGGTATAATATAATTAAGATAAGATATCGTCGATTGTAGCGATTGTAATGATTTATATTTGTATTATTATATTGTTAGTTAATCGTCTGCAACGGTCGAAAGTTGACGCATATCGTCCGTTGCTCTTAATATACTCAATTTATTTGTTAGAAAAAATCGAAATATACAGTCCACTAAACATTAATAAAATACGTGTTCTTCATGGCTACTAATATTATTTTGTTATAGGACCATGCAACAGGTATGGCAGAGGGAACAACAAACTGCTGCTGTTGATCCCACGGTGTGACCGAGAAGAGTGACAATGCACATCATCGCCGACCCAAATAATGACCCTCGACGATACAATCCACCAACTGGTAATGCAAATGAAGTAGCAGTCGTATTCGTTGATGATGACGGGCTACCACCGAGGAACCTCGATCTGGTCATCTATGACACAAACCCAGTGGACTCACAACACCGGATGCAAAGCATATCAGTGGGCTCGTCTCATGCGGATCCTATGCTGTATCCACTATTCTTTCCATAAGGAGAATCCGGTTGGCAGTACAACTTGCGACAAGAAGGTAACCGCCGAAACGCTGTTCGCGTTCGGAACACCATCAGGGAGTTTGTGTGTTACCGTCTGGCCATTCGATATACGGGAAACAATGGACATGGGAATGACGGCCAAACATTTAGTTTATTACATGCTGGTGGTTTTTTATTACAGCAAAATGTGTTTGATCAGTACGTTCGGATGGAAGCGAACAATTTGCGCTACACTAGAGTAAATCAGAAAGCGCTGTTCGCCGAAGCGTATCAGGGGCTTGTAGACCACATAAATCAACAGCTTCATGTCGATGAAATCAACCCCGTCGGTCGCAGGATGATTTTGCCTTCGACGTTTGTAGGTGGCCCCCGTTACACGAAACAATGTTACCATGACGCGATGGCCATTGTGTGTAAATACGGCAAACCTGACCTGTTCATAACTTTTACATGTAACCCTAAGTGGCCAGAGATCGTTGACAACATTCCACATTGGTTGAAAGCTAACGACAGGCCCGATTTGGTGGCGAGGGTGTTCCACGTAAAACTAAAGCAGTTGATTCCTGATATAACAACTGATAAGGTGTTTGGTAACGTAGATGCTTACGTCCACGATTAAAGAATACAGGTTAGATAACGCCGTACTCAATTTTACGCCCATCCGCGGTCCGAAAGTGTTAGGTTCATTAGTACATATTTTAACCACATCTATAAAGCGCTAGTAGTAGGTAGGGCTATTATTGTATTAATAATATTTAGATTTATACAGGCATCTATAATAGTAATATAATAGGTATAATAATTTATGTTCAATTTTTTTATTTAATGCCTCGAAGTTTTATACTGTAATATTGTAGTAGTTTTATTTCTTATACTAAAATCATTAATTAAAAATACTACCTAGTACCTACTCAATGGTAAAATGTTTATTAAAACTAGACATTTCTTTTATAGAAATATAAAGTATAAATTGCATACATATACATTTTACAAAAAACTAATCAATCTAAATGTATAAGACAAATTACTTGTTAACTACAAAATATAATGTACATAGTATATACCTAATGTTGAAGAACTCATAAGTTGGTCCACTGTCCAGTTAATTTTGTATTATAAAAAAAAGGTAAGGTTAGGTAATTATATACATCACTATAAAGAGAAAAGTTGTAACTTATCAAGCCCAGCCATGCAAGAAAATATTATAGACTATACACACAAGTTGGTATAGGTACTATTACTACCAGTGGCGCCGAACTATATTTTTTTTTGTGTAGCAAGTAAAAAAAAATATCATCTACCCTTTTATAAATGTACACCTAAAAAGTGGGGGCTACCCCCCCCCCCCCAATTACAGCAATCAATTTTTATTTTATAATCAACATTCATACATTTTATATTTGCAATCAAAGATTATATTGGTACAAATAAAAATTAAATATATAATTTAACAAATGTGTAATAATAAAATATAATTAATATATACATTATAAAATTAAAAAAATAAAATAAACTATTAAATAATTGTTTTTTATAATAGATTCTTAAGAACAGTACTATATGTTGTAAGGATTTTTATTACCTCTTCATTATCGATGTTAATATCTTTTTCACATGATATAAGCATAAGTGATTCTAATATATCTTCTCATATAGTACTTCTCAATCTACTTTTAATTAGCTTCAATTTAGAAAAGGCTCTTTCAGGAGAAGAACTTGAAACCGGTGAAGTTAAACATATACATAATGCAATATAAATGGATGGAAACACTTCTTTTAAATCATTTTGATGACACACCTTAAAAACCGTCGAAATATTTCCTTGGTTTGTTGCTAAGTCTAGATCTTCTGGATCAATATCACTTTCAGTATTATCACTTGTTTCTATTTCTTCGTTGATATCATCTGTTCTGTGAATTTTTTCTGGTAGTATCGTTAATTTTTTAAACATAAAATATGAATCTGAAAATTGTTTGCATTCACGTCTTAAATCATCAGCTTGTACAAATTTCCCATAGACCATTTCAAACCCATCAAAAGCATCAGTAGGTAAATTTGACTGCTCTGCTACTTCTTTTAATCTTTTTTCTTGAAAAAGTGAAATATCTTTATAAAGTGGAGTAGATTGATCATTGAATCGCTCTACTATCTGTGTACTTACAATATCAATTATTGTATAGCAAGTATTAACTTGAAAATTTTTGATTGGACAACTGATTTGTTCATCTGCTATATTTTCTCCTGGCATTATTTTTTTTTCTTATCTTGTTTAATGATAATGGAGTGAATGATAATTCATTCGCTATAGACGCTATAAATGTATTTTTATCTTCTACCAATTTTTTAAATTGATGCTCACTTCTGAATGTATGCATTTTTTCTAATATCAATTTTACGTATTCACTAGCACCCAGCAAATCAATATTAACACCTTGCAAAAATTTAGTTAAAGAGCTAGTTAATTCAAAAATTTACATAAAAATAAAACCGGTTAGTATAAAACGCTCGGACAATAAATAATTTATCAAGCTACTAGCTTTAACACTCGATATACGATCAGAATCGTGTTGTAAATCCTCTAATGTATCAATGATTGAATCATATGTATCAAAAACCGTACAAAGAGCAGCTGAGTGCGATGTCCATCGGGTAGTATCTACTTTTTTTCTTCGCAGTGGCTTTCCAGGATATATTTTTCTTTGGGACGCCGAGTAAAGTCCTACTCGCTTCTTACTACTGCCTATATAATCATAAAGTGTTTCCAATGTACCAAATAAGTCTCTAGTTTGTGAACAGGAACTTACGGCATCGACTATAATCAAATTAAATTTTGTGTGCCCAACACCAAACGTAAGTAGCTGATGAATTATGCTCTTTTACAATAGCTTGTAAGCCATTGTATGCACCTCTCATTGAGGCAGCACCATCATAAGATTGCCCAATTAGATAAGTTTTCCAATCTAAACACATATCTTTACGTATATCATCAAGAACTGTAAATAAATGTTGACCAGTAGTCATTAATGTTTCTCTAACAGCTATCAACCGTTCACCGACTACACCGTTACTTTTATTTATATACCTAATAATTAGCGACAATTGCTCTTTTCTTGACACGTCAAATGTGGTATCTAAAGATAAAGAAAATAATGTTGCATTCAAAATTTCATTTTTTATTGTGTTACGAATATTAGTTGCAATAGCTAATATTAACTGATTTTGTCGATTCCATGATACAAAATGTTGTGTATGTTTTCCCCTAATTTGGACTTCAGTTAAATGACATGATAATGGAGGTGAATACTTTGCCAATAAGATAGCTAAATCTTTAAAATTTCCACGAACATCATCTTTCCAACCCTTTCTATTACCTCTAAAAGGTAAACAGTGTCTCCCCAAATACAACACTATGTCAATTAAATGTCTGATAACCTCCTTGTTCTGTACTATTTTTTTCATTTCATTTTCTTTTAATGAAGGAAGAAGTGGAAAAGCAGCGTCCTTATATGATGCTTTAATTGAAGCAAATACATGATTTTCGGTTATTTCATGTCTCGTAATTTTAATAGGGCCATTTTTCCATTCTGCAAACCCATCACACACCCAATGGCATTTTCTATTTCTTCTAAATAACGCACAATTAAGACAATACATCTTTCCGTGTGTTGCGGGGTCGACCAGTTCTTCCGGGTTGCCCCGGAGACACTCAGCCCCTTTGTATAACCGCGAGGTTATCTCTTTCGGGCAGTAGCCCCGGATGACTCCGAGGGTCCTGCCCGGGGCGCCGCCTCACCTCGGGCGCCATAATGAGTGACCACCGCGGCCAGGGCCCGACGGATTATCGCCTGAGTCAAACCCCTTCTACTAAGGCGGTACTCCCACAAAATTAAGACAATACAGTCGATTTTGAATTTTTGAATATGACATCCACTTTCTTCGAATTAATTCTCCAGTAAGTAATTTTTTCCAAAACCAGTTATCGTGGAACGATCTCCCATGAGAATCTTTTGGAAAACAGTTTTTGGGCGTTTCACTAGATGATGGCTGCATCGGTCCACATTTGAACAAATAATCCAGTATTTCAGGGCTTAGGCTTTACATTTGAATAGAACTGAATATCGCTGGATCATTTCCAAATTTCGATACTAAATTAATAATTAAAGATATAATTTATTAGATTCAAATAAAACATAATTACCTACTATAAAAATATTAATTTTTTTATATATTTATGAAATCGATGAGTACTAAGGTGGTCCTTATTTATAAGAAAAAAAAATATTAATATTTTTAATATCTTACCCGCCAACTTTGTTCATTACTATGAGTAAGTAATTTATGTTAAATATGGTCATGATTACTCAACCTCTTCACGTGCCACAAAAGGATTGAAAAATTTCGATATAGGGTTGATACTTCAATTTTTAAGTTTAATTTAAAAATATCGCTTAAAAATAAAATAAAACATTTAATCATTATATATCAGTCGCGTTTCTGCTGTCGTAGCGATCGGTTGTTCTTTCCGTCACTGTTATCGCAGCATATTAACGTTTTCTAATCGTTAGTGTAAAAATTACCTATTAATGTCGTCGTTTTCGGGCGGCGACTTGCGCGCGGGTAAATCACCTGCTCCTAATAAAATCAAGCCTTCCTTGTCTACAAATCGGACATCGGATTCAAGTTTCATCACTGTCACCTCAAAAAAATCTTAACGTAAGTCAAAATCCAATCTGCTTACACCCCCGTCCCCCGGACTTCAACAGATTATTATTAATACTCCAATTTTAAATACTTCGCAATCTTCCTTCAATTATATTACGGACAACAATTCGTCGGCTGACTCGGTCATTAACAACGGTTTATCTACTGATAACCTTAATGACTCTATACCAAATTCCTTACCGGACGTTAATTCTACACAAATAACTACTTCGATACACTCCACTGATTTACCAAATGATATAAATATGTCGTCTCAATGTATACAACGGACCTTCTCACCTGATTATAACGGCCCCCTCATAATTCTTGTCGAATGCATTGATTTGGAAAAAAACTTGGGAAATTGGCATCCTATTAAAGCAGCCAAATTTTTCTCTACTCATTTTACCGGTATAACAAATATCAAGCCTACTGGTTCTAAAAAAATTAAAATTAGCTTTGATTCGATAATGAACGCCAATCTTTGTTTGACTTCAGATGTTTTGTTGGAATGTGGCTTCACAGCTACTATTCCATCTAACCTCATTTTCTCATTTGGCATTATAAGACTAGATTCCGACTTTTTGGATGGAGTCCAATCATGTTTCCCCATCGTAAGCTTCAAACGCATTTCTGTCAAAAAAGATGGCAACATTGTACCACCTCGCATCGTTGAACTCAAGTTCCTGTCCCCCAAAGTACCTCAACACATTTCAATCTATAATATGTTTTTCGACGTCAAGCCCAGCATTCGTTCTCCGGTTCAATGTAATCGTTGTCTTCGATACGGTCACACTCAAAAGTTCTGTCGCAGTGATCCTAGGTGCAGTCATTGAGGCGTTTCCAAACATACTATTTCTGAATGTCCCATCGTTCATGCCACGGATCCAATCTGCTTTTTCTGTAAACTTCCTCACGTCGCCACAGACCATAGCTGTCAGGAATGGTTAGCCCAAAAGGATATTAAAAAAATCATGGTTACAGAGAACATTTCCTTCAATGACGCCTTAGTTTTTAAGAAAAATAAATGTTACTCTACTGCTAATACTTTTTCTGACGTTGTAAAAAGCCAGCCTCCAATCTCCGAAATTCTTAAATCCAACATCACTCCCCGTGAAGATAGCTTCCCTAGTCTATACGATAATCATCACTTTTTCAACTCCAGGAAACAAAAACATAAAGCTCGTCCTCCTTTTAACAAAAAATATAATTACTCACCTTTTGAAATCCAGACCAATTCACCTAACGGTAACTACCTAAATAATAACTTTCCTAACACAGTATCCTCTCCTGTAAATAATTTAGGAGATCTTTCATGGGTCCAATCTCTTTTCTGTAAATTATCGGAAACTCTTATTAATTCTCCTTCGCTATCTACCCCTTTCTCTTCCACTTCTCTTCAATCCCTAATTGAATCTTCCATAAATTCTCTTCTCAATACTCCTTTCTCTAATCTCACCGCATAAAAATACCTCACCTCAGTTCATAGTGACTCCTCAAGCTTTAATTTATATTTTATATTATAATAAAAAATATGGTGCCGATTGCTAATAATTTTAATCTTCCAAACTACATTAATATAATTCAGTGGAATGTGAGAAGTCCTCTGCCCGCCTTCCATCTCTACAAAACCTACTTAATTATCATAAATGCTCTATTGCTCTTCTTTTCGAAACTTGGCTCCTACCCTCACGCTCCCTATCTATTCCAATGTTCAAAATCTATGGATCCGATCGCCCGGATGGTTATGGTGGCGTAGCTGTAGCCATTCACAGGTCCTTTAAATCCAAACTTATTTCATTTGATAATGTCACCAGAATTAGATTTACCAATTTGAAAATCGATATCATAGGTGTCGAGGTTGTTTTATCTGATTCACCTCTACCTTTAAAGGTATGGTCCTGCTATCTCCCCAGTAGCTCCAGTATTCCCGTTAACCTGTGGCAAGACATATTCTCAATTGTTACCCAAAATACTCTCCTCTGCGGCGATTTCAATGCCTTTCATCCTGCCTGGGGTTCGGACTTGTCTTCCCGCCGTGGTAACCTGATCTACAATACGATAAATTCATTAGACCTCTGCATTTTGAATAATCTGATGATTCTTGTATATCGTGTAATTTTGGTGGCTTATCATTCATAAGTATCATTTTTAATGGTTTATAATTCTTTATTTGTTCAATTTTTTTACTTATATCTGTTACATTAACTTATATTTTTATAATTTCTTTTTTATAAGGATGTTTATGTAAAACATGTCTACTAATTGTTTTATTTGATTTATATGTGTCCATATTATTTACACGAGATATATTAAAATCTGTAATACCATTTTAGTGTTTATAATTTAAATAAAATGTAATGAAAACACTATTTATTAACTTACGAAAAATGAAAGGTTATTTTACACTTATATACACTGTTTGCGTTAGTCACACTGCGTGCACCACGGTATAGGCATAATTGGTTAGGTTCGGCGTTGTCGCACCGCTATATATATAGTGACCCTGGTGTGTTCTAGAATTTTCTTCTTTTATAGAATGTTCGA